AACCCTGATTATGTTTATTTTTCTTTCCTAATGGTATTTTTATGTTACCAGGAACTTGAAATTGCAGAACCCATCTTGGCTCGTGAAGGGAGAGAGATTGTAAGGATAAAGCTATTAGGATTGAGGCTAGTTACTCCGTGGTTTGGGCAGGTGGACACTTTTCATTAATGTCAGCAAAGCAAAAGTCTATCCGACCGGTCCACAGCCCAGCACAGAAGATCATGGGGTGAAAAGGGCAACTAAGGTGTGACAGCAAATAGAGATTACAGAGACAGCATCTGTCTGGAAAGAGCAGCTGTCAGTTAGAAAGGCTCCTGTAACAAATGAAAGATTGCAGGCCGGATCTCTAGAAAGAGAGATGAACCGTAATAAGATTGTGGGCCTCTCCAGCATGGTCAGAAGGGAAAATAACAAATGCTAATAAAGGGAGATGTGTGATGCAGTCATAAAGAAGCCCGAAAAATTTTTTCTGTGGCTGAGATTTTGTCTGAGGCTCAGATTTGGCTACAGTCTGTTCACTCAGCTTGGCTGAACTCAGAGAGAGATAAAAGTTACCTCTTGGGTACCACATTCACTGTTTGGGTGATGAGTACCCTAAAAGCCCAGACTTGACCCTGATACAATATATTTACATAACAAGAGGGCACTTGTACCCCCTAGATATATTGGAAAAGAATATTTACATAGAAAAAAATATGGTTTTAAGCCACAGGTCCCCAGATGTAGACTGGCTCATAACCTACCATGATTAACTCCATTTTTGGTTTCATCCTATCAAGTCCCCAGATGTAGACTGGCTCATAACCTACCATGATTAACTCCATTTTTGGGTTTCATCCTATTAATTAGTGCAGAATAACTGTTCAATGTTTTCCATGTCTTTATTTATTTTTTTCTTTTGGAAAGTTTTAATTCCTTGTTTGTATTGTAGAAACCAATTGCTTCTCTTAACTAAAGATTGACAGTTGTCTCTTTTTTTAGAATGTATGACTTGTGGGGTGGCATGCTCTTTAAAAAATGCTGTGAAAACAAATAAAATATAAAAAAAATCCAGATTTTGGATATTTTAGTTTCAACTTAGGGAGTATGAATAACAGAAGGAATTAGCAAAAAACAATGACTTTATTACTGGTGTAAATTATTTATGCTTAATAGGGTCTTTTTTTTTTTTTTTGCATCAATTCTTGTATCATTCAGGTGTATTTTTGTGCCTCTCCTACGGTCATGTATATTCTCACGAGATGAAAGTGTTCATCTTAAATCATGGTAATTTTAATAGTATGAAATTTCCTAAATTATTATTTCACAAAATTTTATTTTCTAAATAAGATGAAAGTTGATGTGATACTTTTAAAATATATATGCTAGTTTGCTCCATAATAAAACTTGAGTACTATTTCTAAAAAGATGTATGTCAATCTTTTTTGTATCTTGAATCTTCTAGCTGCTTCATAAGTAGATGGATCTGACATTTAATTGATGACTGTTGAATCTCTAAGCTTACTAGAGAGATGAATTCAGAAGTAATGGATCTTTTTAATCACAGGAAGGGTGTTTCTTCTTTCTAAGTAGAAGTTTTTTTTTGTTTGTTTGTTTTTGAGACAGTCTCAAGCTGTCACCCTGGGTAGAGTGCTGTGGCATCACAGCTCACAGTGACCTTAAACTCTTAGACTTACGTGATTCTCTTGCCTCAGCTGCCCAAGTTGCTGGGACTAAAGGCGCCCACCACAGCACCTGGCTATTTTTTGGTTGTACTTGTCATTGTTTGGCAGGCCCCGGCTGAATTCAAACCTGCCAGGTGCAGTGTATGTGGCTGGCACCCTAGCCGCTTGAGCTACAGGTGCCGAGCCTCTAAGTAGAAATTTTTTCATTTTACTGGAGAACAGAAGCAAAATATAATTACTTGGAAAGATTTTAAAACTATTTATTTAGTTCTTCATTCAGCTACCTTGAGAAATAACTATGTAACTTATTTAACCATAATATTTTATAGTACCATTTTACCTTGAACATTAATATGTTAACTTCTTAATGTATTATCCCCAAATCACAGAAAGGTAGTGTGGTATCTTTTAAAGACGGTTTTATGGCTCCAATGTGCTTTTTTCCCAGAGAAGTATATCAGAGAATTCCCTGGTAGCAATGGACTTCTCAGGCCAGAAGAGCAGAGTTATAGAAAACCCCACTGAAGCCCTTTCAGTTGCCGTGGAAGAAGGACTCGCGTGGAGGGTATAAATAGCTTTACTTTCTTCAAAGTAGTTATGATCTGAGTTTGTTTCACCCCCAAAGATGAGATTTATTTCTCCCTTCCTCACTCAGAAAAAAGGATGTTTACGCCTGGGCACCCATAGCAGTGCCACTGCCCCTTCGCAGAGCGCCTCCACCAACCTGGGTATGTTCATTCTCAGTTACTGTCGCTGAGTGGACGGGAGCTGTGTCTGGGGATGTTATCACTGGGTGGATATGGTGGAAAGTCACAGAACGAAATTGCGCTATTTCAGACAAGCTTTGTTTCCCATCCATTTCATGCCTTTAGCTATCCACCAGTCTCAGCCGTGGTTTCACCACAGAATTTCTAGAGAGGAAGCTCAGCGATTGATTAGTCAGCAAGGACCTGTGGATGGGTAAGCTTGGGATTTTTAATTTTGAGTAGCAGTGACTTAGATGAGAGTTTTCCTATAAGTAACGATTATTTATTCAACACACACAAAAGAGTTTTTGATTTGAGCTAATCATGAAAGAGAAGTGGCTTTTCTTTCTAGAAAGGTGATTGCCTTTATATCCTGACAGTATCCGTATTCTGGTTGGTACAGAGCCTATGCGTAAATGAACAGGTAACAGAGTAGGATGGTTTGTTCTTAACTAATGACCATTAACATTGAACTATATTGAATTCTGTGTCCATTCTAGCACCTCAGATATTAATCTATGGGGGCGGGTAACTGAATGTCTTTTTGGATGTCAACATTTTGGTTTGAACATAAAATCAATGGTGGCTCATATCACGACATTATCTTACATGTTGTAGTTTTTAGGTATGCCGGGTATATTAAGTATAAAGCGGTTGAATACATATTTAAATATTAGTTTAATTTTTTTATTATCTGCTTACCTCCTATTGGTTTCTCTTCTAAATTTTACAGGCTAAAAGTAATATAAACCTACAGAAATCTTGCCTGTTTCTCATGTTATCATTTAATAAGGCACCACGGAATATATAAAGGAGAAAAATATGAACTGTATTATGAAAGATTTATAACCTGAAGAATTATTCTCTTCTCATATTACTCAGTGTTTCAGATACTTGTTATAATACTGGCTAAATTCCCTTCCCAAGTGCAGTACAAATGAGGGAGTTTGTAGTGAGGATTGGAAGACAAATGAAACCAGCATCAATTGAAACAAGTGGTGATGGGATCCTTTATCTTCTGTAGTTGGTTAAGATGATGACAAGGTTTTGAGGTGATTTAATACTGACATTTGGATAAAAATGCACCTTCTCACATGGACGGTTATTAACAGCAAGGCAGCATTTCACCAGACTGTAAATAAGAGAAGATTTTAATACGCTTCCCTGCACAAAGCAGTCTTTTTTGGATATAAATTTGAATAATCAGCAGAATTGAAATCTGATAAGACCAAGAAAAGAAATAAGTCACAAAAAAGTAAGATGTTTTGGAGGATTCTAGTTTTCTTTATTGTTGAGCCGAGTTTTCGTGATGTAAGTGAAATAATTGTATAAAGAATGATGTCTTTTTTTTGGTATTCCTTTGGAAAGATGTGATGGTACCAAGTGATCCACTAGGTGGCAGTGGTGATCTGCTTGGGAATGGGGAGAGAATTACAGCTTGATTTACCAGTGAAATGCCCTTTTATCCTATCTCCCAGTGATGTAATGTCATAATCTCATGCTGCAAAAATGAAATGGATAATCTCGTCAGACATCTGTGATGCCTTAAATTTGGCTGCTTCTTTGCCCAGGCACAGTGAGATTAGTATTGGATTTGCCAGTGGGAACCATTTACACATTAATTGTTGTGTTTGCCAACAATTAATATAAAACTACTTTTGCCCCGCATTGCCAGTAAATAAGAATTCACGCCTGGCAGCATTTTTCTCTTAGGCCATTAGGCCATGTCTTGTTTTTCTAGCCTGATGTTATAGAGGCTTTTCGGCTACATTCTTCAAGGTTAAAGTACATGTTGTTTGGTTGTTTCTTTTACTTAAAACATATTCCTTAAACATTTAATAAATGACTTCAAGATTGATTTCTTACAATACATGCATTTCTTACTCTCTGTTGTATATGTAACAATAGAAACCAGAATCAAAAGAAGGGGGGGATCCAGTGGAGATGAGGCATAAAAATGTGGTTTCATTCTAAAATTCTAAATTATTATCTTTGTTCTAGGCCTAACATGACCCAGAAGGTAAAATAACAGTATGCTAATGCCTTTTTCTTTGTGCAAAAGAGTTACTTGTGAATACCCAATTTCCCCATGGAAAAAGGACATAGCACTAATTATTGTTGTAGTATGCCGGTTATTGTGAGCAAACTATCTAGCAAATGAGCTGTATTTTTGTCCTAAATTAAAACTAAGGCTGGGCATAATGGTTCATGCCTGTAATTGTAGCACTTTGAGAGGCTGAGGTGGGAGGATTGCCTAAGAGTAGGAGTTGAAAACCGTCCTGGGCAACATAGTGAGATCCTGTCTCCAAAAAAACAATAAAAAATTAAAAATTAGCTGGGCTTGATGGCATGCACCTGTAGTCCTAGCTACTTGTAAGGTTGAGTGAGGAGTTTTGCAGCAGCCCAGGCCTTCAGGGCTGCAGTGGGTTATGCACTTCAGCCTGGAGTGCAGAGTGAGACCCTGTCTCAAAAAAGTTAGATTAGCACCGATGGTAGTTCTATAATACAAGTTTATGCCATACCATATTGTTTACCACGTTGGATAATTTCACCCACTGAATACACAGTAAAGGAGTCCCCAGCTACAACATTCTGGAATACACATCCTGGATTTGTCGTATACTATAATTCTATGAAATCCATGAGTAAATGTAGAAACATACTGAAATTCCTTCTCTCTCTTTAGAGTTTTCTTGGTACGGGATAGTCAGAGTAACCCCAAAACTTTCGTACTGTCAATGAGTCATGGACAAAAAATAAAGCACTTTCAAATTATACCAGTAAGTAATTTGTGATTTCATATTCGTATATTAGAAATGATCCTAATGCATGAGCTTCTGGAAACTTTGGTTTTCTTTTGGCCCTTTTATTAAATGTAATTTGGGAGCTTGTGCTTTGACTAGAGTTAAGTTTGGCAGAAATGGTTTTATGAGCCTGAATTAAGAGAAGACATACAGGAATTGTAAAAATTAAATTTTCCATTTTCCATGAAATATGGTTTAGCAATATTATATAGACCCCATGCCACCTGTTGTTAAAAAGCCACCAAAGGTTCTTTCTCCTGGGTTTGAATAATGGTTGTTTAAAAACAATTATTTTAAAATCCTTTCTCCCTCTGGTCGTAAAAACATTGCTTTGTTTTTATTGTTTTATTTTTAATGGTTAGTGATAGAAATACAGATACTGTGGAACTAGTGAAGACTTAAGTATTACGAGCATATTTAAAGATTGTTTAAACCAGATTTGTGATTCTGGTTCTGGGTGGGACAGTTTACTTTGGGATTTCTGTTCTTTTTATTGCCGTGTGTCTGTGAGCGTATACGTGTGAGTATGTGTGTGACCTGGATGTTGGAACCAAGTAGTGTAGATTAGACATTCAGTCTATTTTCAGGAAGGTGTTACGTAAGATCTCGAGATTGTTAGAGCTTCCTTTTAAGTTTCTTCTTTTTTATCCGAAGGCCATATAAAGTATCCTCTCTACTTCTTTGCTTCAGTGATCAATGCCCCTAGCAGCAAATGTGAATTGTTTAATTCCAAAAGACTTCACTGACAAAAGTAAAAAGACAAGATAACTAATTCTTTCTTAGCATGGTCTTTATTGCTTCAGAATCAATTCACAGATGAAAATTATGGGAATATTCATTTTTGAGGCTAAATAGACACCATTTAGAAATGGAAATTAGTTTCTATAAGTGGGATCATTAAAATTTTTTTACTCTTAGACTGTATATTAGAGATTTCTCACTGTTCATTGATTCAAAATGGGCATAGTACCCTAAGTAACAAAACATTGGGAATTAGAAGTAGATAAAGTAAGGCCCCACTGCTTCTCTGAAAATTGGATGATATTTCTTTTAAATATACGTGATGTTACAAAGAAGATGTGGGCATGCTATCATGTTCTTTGATTTTTTTTTTTTTTTTTTTTTTTAGTTTTATAAATGTGCCGATTTGGGCAAATGGAGACAGTTTCCAATGGGTTGTCCTTCTGGGTAATTTGCCCTCCACCAGCTTGTTCCTTTTCCTTCTGCAGGTTGAAGATGATGGTGAAATGTTCCACACACTGGACGATGGCCACACACGATTTACGGATCTAATTCAGCTAGTGGAGTTCTATCAACTCAATAAGGGTGTTCTTCCTTGCAAGTTGAAACATTATTGTGCTAGGATTGTTCTTTAGCCAAACCAGAAGTGACTTGTGAAAACTATTGAATAAAAAGAACTCAAGAAAAAGAAAAAGTGTTACCATGATGAAAAGAATGTATTTTACCTGCAAGTTACAAAAAATAGTTTGTGCATTGCAAATTAGCAAAGACTTGGATTGACATTACGTATATCATTTAAAATTCATCAGTCAAAATTAAACCTTAGGAAAAAAAATGACTTGGTGTGTTCTTGTGTGATTTTACATTTCTGTGTTTTCTTCAAATGTTTGAAACATCCCTCTTTACTATACAGCAGCAGTAGAACTTTCAAACAAAATATGAAGAAAAGAGGATTCGGAATGAATTATTTGTAGACTAAATTTTAATTATACTACTTTTTACTATTAAGAAATATAATAACTTGAGTTATTAACTTTGAAAGAGGCCCACAATTTGTTAATAAAACCCATTTTGAGTTGTGTACAGTTTTCTGGGTTTATTATAACCTTAAACTCAGATCATATTTTGAGGTAGCCGCTTTAAATTATTTTGAAATATATTGAATTTTTTCTGGGAAATGTTTATTATGTTATTGAATTATTAATTATACTATAATATTTATACTGGTCATTGTACTCATCAGTGGCATATGGTTTGTTGCATTTTTTCCATTTATTTAATGATTGGCTAGAACTATCAATTTTTAAGAAAATGATGGAACTATAGAAAAGATTTGTATATAATTTTTACAAATCTTCTCATGGCATATAATCTACGACAAGGTGATGTTGTCACTCTAATATTTCATATTTGCCCCATACTCTAACTTTCAATACACTCTTTAGAGTCTTTCAGTAATTTATGTCATTAACTGACAGTTAATTTATATAATATAAATAGCCATATTATTTATATAATATAAATGCGTATATAAATAACTATTATTTAATCTAATAATAGAACTAATCTAATAATATAACTATTTTTTTTTAATTTTTTGGCCAGGGCTGGGTTTGAACCTGCCACCTCTGGCATATGGGGCTGGTGCCCTATCCTTTTGAGCCACAGGCGCTGACCCATAACTATTATTTAGAATAAGTGAAATCAAAGATTCCAAATCTACAAGGATCCTAATAGGTAAATACCTATTCTTCTCTTTGCCTATCCCTTTTCAGTTTTTTACCATGGCGATATCAATACCAAAACCAAAGATTTTGAAACTTTGAGAGACAGTAACCTCCCTGATCTCCTCTCTGAAACTTTCTGGGTTTTTAATTTTTTTTTTTTATTGTTTTTTTATTCTATGACTCTGTTCTTCTCATTCTTGGTGGGAAGGACATTCATTGCTCTCAACAAAAGAGAAAAACAAAATATCAAACAAACATTACAATGATACAAAATATTGTTCATCTCCTCCAATTGAGCTTTATGACAATATTGTGGGAAAGTTAGATTTTTTTTAACACAGTATTTTAAAAATGTCTATTTTTGTTTTCAATGAAAGCTGTACATTTTTTAGTAACAAAGTATATGAAAACATTCATGAAATACAAATAAAGTGAAGTATCACTGAAAAATAATTATTTGTTGAATTTTAAAATATTCAATTTACCTTTAGCCAGTGCAAACCTAGTTCCTAAAACACTGAAACTTAGAACATTAATCTGATGTTATAAAATACCTGTCTGGTATCCACTAAGGCTTGGAAGACACGTAGGACATCTAAGTGGAACAAGGCAGGCGGGGCGAACATGCTTGCCCTCTTAGGCTTTCAGAATGGCCCGATGTATGTTTCATTTATAAAAAGATTTTGCATTTTGCATTGGAATACATTTTCTCATTTTTCTACCTAGTTCAAACAGACAATATAAGAAATGTAATATTTTAAATACTAAACTCAGGAATAGACCAATCTGTGCGTATCTTTGTTATTTTTGTCTCTAACTGCATTCATAATTTAAATTTATTATTCTGATGCCCAGATGTTATATGTAACTGCTTGATTTGATTGGAAAGCATGAGTAAAGACAAATTATTGAGGAAAGGTTGACAGAGGGAAATCATTACTTTGTCTTCTTGATTTTTTTCTTAAAAAAGGTCTTGGCTCTGTGTGTATGTGTGTGCATGTGTAAATCTAATAAGATATTAAATCTGAGAGTGTCAGATACTTTCACAATTACTACAGTATTAAAATGCATTCCCTAAAAAAGTATGAATTACCTCTGGGGTATTTTCCATTTTGGTTTAGCCCTGTTCTATTATCTTGCACCATTTTGAGTAACGCAGAGGATGGTTAAGTCTGCTTTCTTCCATTTCTGTTCCCATGTTGGAAGTAATATGTTTTACTCTCCCAGACAGAAGCAAACCAGCAGACTTTGTGGTCCGCATTGTTCTTTTTTGTTTTCTTATATTGAAGGATTAGGTAATTATTTTAAAATATCTGGAAATTACTAGGAGGACTTCAATTCAGCATAATTGTTTCATGTAGGTAATAGATCAGAGGCACGTTTTTGTTTTAGCTCTGATTTAGGGTGGCCAGCACCAGTTAATCAGCGTCCCGTGTGGGCTACGGCTTTTGAGCACCATTAAGAACTGTGCACAGTGTAGTTGTATTCTGGTAGTGATATTAAACTATTCTTTGGATCATAACTTCTCGGAGGAAGAAAGATTGTCACTGGTGTTGGTTACAGCCTGATGTTCCAAACTGGCTGCACTTAGAAGGCCCTCTTCTCTATTGCCAGTCATTCTTACGCTTTACGTCCAGGATCCATTGTGCAGCCTGGTAAGCCTGTGCATCCCTTTCACAGAATGTGAATGCATAACATTTTAATTACTGCACGGTTGCTATGTAATTAGTAATTAGTTTCCTCATCTCTAGAAAGGAGATCACTACGACAACCACCACATCACCATCATCACCACTTCTTAAGTTGTCTTGGCAGTTGAATAAAATTATTCATATAAAGTACCTAGCACTTGGTTTAGACTCTTCACTGATATGCATTTTTGGTACATCAGAGACGTTTATTTGGGTCCGCCATCTCCTGGTTGCATTGCCCTTTCCACCAAGTGCCTTTACATGTCTATCTCTTGTTCTTCCTGCTGGGAAGGACACACTAGATATTACCTATTTGCCTCTGCTTTTGTTTCAGTCCCTCCATAATGATGCTTTTATGGGAATACCACCCACTGCAATGGGTTGCTGCCCAGTCCATCTGTAGAGACGGGGTGTACAACCAGGCTATGCCCACCTGTGCAGATCACACAGACTCTCATGCCTTTCTCCACTTGCTGATTACAAAGATAACGTGTGATTTGGTACTCGTATTTGTGTGGTCTCCTTCCCCGAAATTATAGCAATTGATCAAATGGGAAATGAAGAAGGTTGGAAATCTGTTTCAGAATCTCTGCCCAGACAGCACAAGACATGGAGTAATGCATAGCTGGGTAGGAAAGGCTGAAAAAACTCTTCCTGGGTGAGAAATTAATCAACTTTTGCTGAGTCAGTGTCTCCTTTCTCTGGCTGATTATACACTCCGTGGATCCTGCTCCTCTCAGAAGTTCTTTTATTGTAAGCAATCTGATTAGGAGCTGAAGATAACGTTCTTGTCTTGTGTTATTGTTAAGTTCACTCCAGCAGGTAACAAGTGCTTATTAGGTGAATGGCACTTCTAGTGATGCAAAATTGGATAGTAGGATATAGAAATACAAGTATCTATTCTAGAAGGAAGGCAGGGTAAGTATTACATTATAAATACAGTGAGAGAGATTGGCTACACTTGCTGAAGTGTAAGGTTGGGAGAAATAAAATGGGTTCCTGGGAGGTCTGTAGGAGTTCAGTTACAAAAGCTTGTCATCAAGGGAGAGGGACAGTGGTGTCAAGCAGCCCAGTCATGGCAAATAGGATGGAGAGGCAAGCGCCTGCTGCATCAGGGAGAGCTTCAAGCAATTATGTTTTAGTCAAGGGACAGCATAGCTGGGCACTTCAGTGTTTCACTCCATTAAATTTGTATCTGGTTGAGATTGTGGATGGGCTTCATTCTTCTCTTTATCTTTGCTCTGCACATTAGAAATTTACTGCACTTCTCTCTGGAAGTCGAAGTAGTCTCATGATGTCTGGAGTTACAAGGGCAACTGTGAGTAAGATGACTAAAGGTGGAGAAAGGGAGCAAAGGAGGAAGACCAAGCAGGAGCTATTGCAAGAATCTTAGCAAGATTCAGGAGAGCTTGTTCTAGAACCGTGGACATGACAAAAGGATGCTGTGGAGAGTGAATCATCAGTGATATAAGCAATTGGATGAGAGAGATGAGGACTCAGTAAAGGGAAGAGTACAAAATGATTAGTAGGTTTATGGCCAGAGAACAGAAACATTGACATTTTTGGTGATCAAAAATCGATGATTTTAACCAACCATCAGAATTCTTGAAGAATTGTCTCTATTCAGAAACTTTTTATATAGAAAGGCTTTATGCTAAAGGAAATACAGTAGGACATCTATCTGTAAGTTGATCACCCCAGAGACTGTAACAAACTGCTCAATATATGGATGTGGTCCACATAAGCACTAGGCCAACTCTACTAATACGTACATATGGTTGACGTTTGCGCTATGAAAATTAGGTCAATTTAGGGAGGTGAAGAGAGGTGGTCAATTATGGAGGTTGTACTATAGAACTTTGTTTTTATTATTGTTTTGTATTCATTGAGTATAGGAAGAATTAGGCTACAATGATTGCATTTACTAGGTAAATTCCCTCTTATAATTGTTTCCCACCCCCAAGAGGTGTGCCTTACATCTGTAGAACTTTATCTTGCACAGAGAGTTAAGAATGCAGGTGCAGAAGTGAAGAAGGAGGCAGTTAAAGAATATTCAAAGGGCTAATAAGGAGCTGGGAGGCTGAAAGCTGAGGAGAAAGATGCTGTTGAGAAGAGACTGGGTGGGAAACAGATTCTTCAGAACTTGGATACGGAGCACACATTCTAAAATGATGTGTATTATGTGATTCTATGATCTACCACCTCCATCTTTCCAAACCTGAATAAAGTCCCCACATGTGAAACTAACTTGGAGGAGAGAGGTCCCAGGAGTGCAGGGAAGGGGCTAATGTGCCACATCAGAGGTTAGGTGGCCTGTCAAGGGACAACACGGCAACTAGAAGTTTAGCAGATGCGGGAAATCCAAACTACAGGACCACGTGTCAGAAATTCTGGATTGGACACACTTAGCCTTCAAA